GCTGAGATGCGGCCACTGCACTCCAGCCTGGGCGACAGAGCGAAACTCCGTCTCAAAAAAAAAAAAAAAAAAAGAAAGAGCTTTTTTCTTGTGGAAAAACATCCAGCTCTGTAAGTCAGTGGCACTATACCCTAGAAAAATGGTGAAGGCAAAGTCCTTAGGAGAATGGGGCATTTCTGAACTCTAAGACTTTCCATCTGCTTAGTGGCTCACTTTGAAAAGTGAAAGGGAGGGAATCACGTACGCCTTTCCCAACAACTAGTTTTACATAGGTATATATACATACACAGAATGAGAGAATTTCAATAGGTACATATATCTACTATATATGTCAGGTATACACACACACGCACGCACACACACATATATACATATCCCTGAATTTACATGCAATGTATAGTTATCACAAATCAAGGACTTTTAAGATAAATATAAGATTTAAATATCTTTTGCTGACTTTCCTTTAGTAACATGTGGGAAAAAACCTCTATTTCAAGATGTGAAATTGGAGACTGCTTTTCCATTTCTTCAGCTCCTAATAAGCACTAAGAAGCGATTTGCATCAATTCACCACCTACTCCTTGGCATCCCCAATTCCTCCAGCAGTTATTGCGAAGGTGGCTTCATTTTCAGGCATCTCAGGACTAACAGAATACAAGGGAACAGAAGTTTATAAAAAGCTCTATTTCTATAAATACTATATTCAAGTCACAGGCATTATGCTCCCATCAGTCTGAGTCTCCAGAGACATCTGAGAGTTGGTACAACCAAATGTGGCCTACAGAACTTACCCACAAGTATTATTAACCCTCACAAACATTTATTGAGCAACTTCTATATATAAAGTTCTGAATGTCAAGAAAAATTACCCCAAACTTGGAAACAGATGAAAGGATAACTGGGTGTTTATTTATTAATTTTAATTTTTTTTTTTTTTTTTGAGATGAAGTCTTGCTCTTCTTGCCCAGGCTGGAGTGCAATGGCGAGATCTCGGCTCACTGCAACCTCCGCCTCCCGGGCTCCAGCGATCCTCCCACTTCAGCTTCCTGAGTAGCTGGGACCACAGGCACACACCACCATGCCTGGCTAATTTTTTTGTACTTTTTGTAGAGATGGGGTTTTGCCATATTGCCCAGGCTGGTCTTCAAACTCCTGGGCTCAAGCAATTCATTCTCCTTGGCCTCCCAAAGTGCTGGGATTATAGGTGTGAGCCACCACGCTCAGCCCTGGAATTTTCATGTAAGTTAATGCAACATTAAAGTCTATAAAGATTGATGTCTATAAAACTTTTCATTGTATATTGTCATTAGTATTTTAATTTTTACATATTTTCACCATGCATGCATTTTGAAAACAAGATTTTATTTTTGTTTAACAATCAAAAAAAAATCTTTTACACATTTCTAAGACTAGTATTCGGAAATTTTACATTTAAATTAATTTTAACATTAAAAAAGATATGTATTTTTGAGACGGAGTCTCACTACGTCACCTAGGCTAGAGTGCAGTGGCACCATCTTGCTCGCGCAATCTCTGCCTCCCAAGTTCAAGTGATTCTCTTACCTCAGCCTGCAGAGTAGCTGGGATTACAGGCACATGCCACTGTGCTTGGCTAATTTTTGTATTTTTAGTAGAGACAGGGTTTCTCCATATTGGCCAGCTGGTCTTGAACTCCTGACCTCAAGTGATCCACCTGCCTCGGCCTCCCAAAGTGATGGGATTACAGGTGTGAGCCACCACGCCCAGCCATAAATACATTTTTAAAA